GCAACTTAGTTCCTCTTAATTTAGTTTACCAGGCATTCATTTCCACAGCTATGGCATAACACAAATCATTAACAAGTCTACAAACCTTTGCTCTGTGTTTTGTTTTAATGAGTAAATAGAAAATCTTCTATCATAGGACACTATAGGTAGCAATGAAAAAAAAAATGGTTTTCACAGCACTGATTTCCTAGCAATTTGAAAAGCATGGAGCAATTCAATTATCCTAAAATTGTCATCCAATTTGTTTCTCTGTGGGAGTGCTGGTATTCTTATGTCATGAGGACCAGGAAATTAGCTGCTTTCTGGGATTTGTAAATTTTTTCCTTCCTGTTTTTGCTGAATCTCTGAAAGAAATATTTAGGGGTAGTAGAGGTGGGGAGTTGGGGAAAGGGACAGAGAAGGAAGGGTAAAATTGGATTTGAGAAAACAAAGACTTTTTCATTTCAAATGACTCCCTAATATCATTACTTAATTGGCACAATATATTTTCCCCATTTTTTCAATATGCTTTAAAATTATCTTTTAGTAACTGTTAGCTAACTCCTAAGTACTCCAAAATAATTGAATAGTTGAGATATTTATTAACTTTCCTCCCACTGTTCTCCAAATGCTTATGAAAATTAATTTTCAATCAATAATATGTGTAGACATTCACGGTTCTACTATAAACTAGTATTAATGTGTATCATTTGGGAGGAAATGTCATTCTCATGCCATTCATTATGAGGCACCTTTGGGGGAAGCAAGTCACTGACTTAAATTATAATGAAAAGCATTTAGTTTTTATTAGTGTGTAGGAGGCTTGTTCTCAAGCGAGTATTTCACAGCTATTATTCATTCAATCTCAGTTTCCCTGGGAGGGAGGAAAAGGGAGCCCAGTGAGCCAAAGTCAATGAGTTGAGTCATTGTTCTGCTCCATTCCAAAAGACTACTCGGTTTCAACTAAACTCCTTAGGTTCAATTTAAGATTCCCTGGCAAAGACTTTTCTTTGTGATCTAGTCTCACTGACAATAGTACAGACACCACTGTCTGTTCTCTAATCACCTTCCACCTGCAGGACCCATGGAACAAGGAACCTCCCTGAGCCTCCCTGGCTTTCCAGAGTCAAGCAGACTCCTAAAGCTGCATCCTTCAATTACACTAAGATCCTCATGGTGCCCACCAGAATGGCCTGTACCTTGTTATGTCATTTCCCCAAGATTTTATTTTTTTATTTTTTAGAGAGAGAGAGATAATTTTTTAATATTTATTTTTTAGTTCTCAGCGGACACAACATCTTTGTATGTGGTGCTGAGGATCGAACCCGGGCTGCACGCATGCCAGGCGAGCGCGCTACCGCTTGAGCCACATCCCCAGCCCCTTCCCCAAGATTTTAAATATGGTGTTGGTGATGATAGAGGTCCTCCTTTCTGATTTTATCTTCATGATTTCTAATTTGTGGGCTGTCTTGGAGAACTATACCTCTGGCCTTATTTCACTCCTGAGTGTGTTTCCTAAACCTACTTAATCACATTTTTTTCTTTACTGAACCAAGTCCGGACTCCAGGACAAGTTATTTCAACACTGTCTACTTAAACCTTCATCTTACTTTAACTTTTCTTTAGTCTTCTACATTAATTCCAGCCTCTGATCATCTCAACTTTATTTTCCATTTCTATACCTAAGCTACCAAATTTTGGGATAGGTTACAAAACTATTTCAAATGTTCTTCCCTGGCAGTCTTTTGGGACCCTCCAGTGGACATTGCACAGCTTCACACAGGACAGTCACTGGGTAGCCTACTGACGTGCCCCATCATGCTCTCAGTGCAGTCTGTGCAGATAACCTTGGTTATCTTATCATTACACCCTTTTCTGCATCACCCAAATTTTCTTTGTACTTTATCCCTTTTCCGTCCTCCTTATTGCTTCAGAGGGAGCTGTGTCCCTTCCATATTCAACTTAGTCATCCCAGAAACCTCCTCTGCATTCCTTTTCCTGGCATTTGCTCTGCTCTGTTTCCTCCTTTCAATTTCACCTCGAGTGATTTTTTTTTTTAGGCCTGAAAACACTCTCTACATTCTCCTATGAAAAATAACAGAAAAGCAAGTAAACAGAAATTGTTATGCCAGATTCATGGGACCCCAATAGACCTCCAGGAGCCGAATCCGATGCAATCACACAAGAATCTTTATTGCAAGCTCGAGCCTGGACTCACAACAGTTCCGTTCCGACGCGGTGGTCCCAGGGAGTGAATCCTGGTCCTTTGTTCAGTGAGATTTTATAGGTGTTGGGGGGATACTCTATGCGTCACAAATCACACAGCAAATCATTCCATACCGCGGGAAAATCAAACAACAACTCATTGATTAGCACATTCAATGGCGGGAACAAGGTGGGTAGGGGTGATTGGTTAGTACAAGAGGGGGATTCTTTTGAACTGATTGGTTTAGGCCTCGAGGGGTGTACGTGCTGAACTAGCACGTACACCCCTCGAGGCCTAAACCAATCATGTAAAACATGTAAACATGTTACATGTAACATGTTACATGTTTCCCAACATGTTATCAACCACCATAAACTACTTGGGGGTCATCTGGCATTCCAGGTATTTTCCCTGTCTCATGCTGATTGGAGGTTGCTAGGGGGGTTGCTATGGGTCCTCACCTCGCCTGAGTCAGGGACACCTGGCACCACAGACCTCTCCTGTTATTTACAGACAAACAACTCAGCAGGGTGGGTATGTGCTTAGGAGTGCTGTGTGGGTCTTTCTAAGGACAAGGGTCACGCCCCCTTCCTTAGACAGGCTTTACTCTGAGGTAGGGGCTGGTTTCTCAAAAATGGAGTCACATCAGTTTCTCAAAATCAACTTCCCTTGGTTTTGCAAACCCCTTCAGAGTATCAGCTTCTTAGTTTCCTTTCAGGCTAAACCCGTTCACTCCTGGACCTACAGAAACCTGGCCAATGTCCTGTTGTTTCACACAAATTGCTTTCTCAGAGGCCACCAATGGCCTGTATTTAACACCACATCCAATAACTTTTTATTACTGAATTTACCTCATCTCTCTGAGATGTCTGTCATTACTCACCAACTCATCTCCAACTTACTCCCTGCTTGGCTTTAGGGAGCACACAGGTTCTTAACGTGCTCATCTGTCTCCTCCATGAGACTGCCCTCTCCCAAATTCCTGCCCTCTCCCAACTTCCAACTTCTACTAGGTGATTTCTCCAGACCATCTTTCTCTAGTCTTTTCCTTGAATTCAACAACTCCCATGTTTTAAATTCTTACTTTTTATGGATAGTTCCACAATCTAAATCATAATTCCTATTGAACATTTTTACCTTGGATATTCTAGACTAGACAAAGGGCTAGAAAACATTTTTAAAAAGGACAGAGATTAAATATGTTAAGTCCTACAGGCCATATGGTTTCTGTCACCACTGCTAAACTCTGTTGTTACAGTGTGAAAGCAGTTATGGAAAACACAGGAATGAATGAGTGTAGCTGCATTCCAACAAGACTATTTATGAACACCAATAACTTGAATTTCATATAATTTCCATGTGTCACAAAACATTCTGCTGTCGGTTTAAAAAACAACAACAACAAAAGATTTTTAAATGTAAAAATCATTCTTAGCTCCGGGGAAACCAGGCAGAAGCTAGGTTTGGGCCCAAGGCCCTTTGGAACCCTTATAATAGAGACATGTCCCTAGGACATATGCTCCTCAGCCATTTATTCCTCTCTTACCACTGGGATTTTGTTTCCTCTTTAGAACTGTCTTTATTATTATTTTTTTAAATAAAAAGTTGTGCTTTGTGTAACTTCCCACAGGTACAGATTTCATCTAGAATGGGTGTAAGGAAAACAAGTATGAAGTCAGTATTCCCATTTTCAGATAAGGAAGTAGAGTCCTATTTGGGATCTGTCAAGGAGTTAACTAGTGTTGGAGCTGGTGTTAAAACTCAATTTTCTGAGTTTTTCAGACCTAGACTCCAGATGGACTGCCATACAGCAGTCTATTGCCTATAATGTATGTGTTACATCTTTCAACACAGAAGGAGAGAAACAGAGAACATTTCAAGGTTCCTTTCTGATCTACAATCCATATTATATTGCAGCCTGCCTGCTACAAGCATATTCTTTTGCCACTCTGACCCCTGGTTATGACACTGCTTTTTAGCTTAGCTGGGCAGCCACAGAACCTGGAGGGGGGCAAACAATGTTTGCTGAGACACAAATAAAGTTCCACAGATGTCTCCTTAAGGTTTAAGCAGAAATCTTCATATGCATAATGAAGATCTAGATCACAACTCTCACAATACTTTTGGCATAGAAATAGAGATGAAATCCATTATTGCATTAAAAAGTGAGATGTATTTGCTATTAGTTCCAAATATGTCAAAAGAAAATGGATTATTTTCCTACAGCTAATGCTTATTTTATCCTCTGAAGTGTATTTCCTTAGAACTCATTCGGTATTCAGAGTTCCATTGAGAATATTGTAATATTCACTTTGTTTTTATGAGGTTATTGAGGTCACAGATTGTTTTGTAATCGCTTTTCCTATTTCTTAAATTTTAGAACTGTGAGAAAATAATTCATCCTTACTTTATTCAGCCTACATGTTTAGTTTTTTAGCCAGAGGTCAATTTGACACTGTATATTTTAACTTCAATTTTTATGTTATTTTAAGTATCTATTTTGATTAAAGAACTTTACAAAAAATTTTGTTATTTTTTAAATTTTGTTATTTTTCTTTGTGAGTTCAATGATCTTAACCTTGATTTATGCTTCTTTTGTTATTGTATTATAAGTGATCCTATAAAGTTTTGTTTCTTGAGGGTGCATTTCATTATAAGCAGAAGTTTGTCCTAATTAAAATGAGATTATTGTGGGATACTATATCAAAGAAAAGTGTTTATGAGGTGGGTATTCTGATACTTATTTTCCTTTAATACACATAGTAAAGGCCAGAACAAATTACCCTTTTCAAATAACAACTCTTTAGAAAATATGTCTGGTTTTGGTAAACAATTTTTTATGTTTGACTAAAAGATTAAATTAGCCTTATACATTTTTGAATGTTTAGAAAAATTCACTATCAGAACCTAAGTAAATAGCTGAAAATGTCTAGTGTTTTGTTTTCTTAAGAAAATTACTTCTCACATATGTAGTTTTATCATTCAGCATATTGAGGTAAAATACTTTACAACAAGATTGAAACTACTCATTGTAGCAGTATTAGAGTAGGCTAAGCTGCTATAAGAAAGAGAACCCAAAAATTCAATGGAAAAGTAGAATGAGACAGACATTATATCTTAGGTACATACACGATAGCATGACCAACATGATTCTACAACATGTTCAATCAGGAAAACAAGAAATTACACTTTATTTATGTATGATATATCAAAGTGCATAAATGATTTCTACTGTCATATATAACTAATTAGAACAAATTTTAAAAATTAAAAGAAAAAGAAAAGTAGGGGGAGGACCATTAGGGAGAGGTTGGCTAGCAAGTAGATAAGAGGAAAAAGTTCTAGCATTCAATAGCACAATTTGCTGACTAGACTTAATAATAATTTATAAGGATTTTGAATGTTCTCACCACAAGGAAATGATAAACATTTGAGGTGATGGATATGCTAATTATACTCAATAAATCACTGCATGCTGTATTAAAATCACACCTCATAAGTACATACAATTATTATGTATCTATTAAAACTAAAATGTTTTCTAAAACATGAAGTTTATCTGTTTCCCAGGTAACAGTTCCAGGTAAGCGACCTACCTTGGTGAGCTCTGCTTCCGACAGTCACCAGCAACAGTCTGGTGGCAGCTCTGCCATCAACAGTTGGCTTCCGGGGTGCTCTGGTAGTCACCATTGCAACTAGCTAAACAGGGGACAGGGAGACAGTCCCTGGCTAGGGATTTCCTCTTACACAAATGAGGGAGAAGTTTCACAAACCACCAGCATCCATATTCCATTGACAAATATCCAGTCACACGACCATGTCAACAAGCTAATAGGGAGATTAGAAAAGATAATCTCTCCATGTGCCCAGGAAGAGTGGAAGAATAGAAATAGCAGAAAACTGCAGCTTTCATATGCCTTTTGATTGTGAAAAACTATAAATAAACCAACAGTATGCATTGCAAGGTCTCTCTAGAATGTTACACACATGACAAAATACAAGAAATAAATAGGTTAATCCGTTTCAATTATGAAAATATTTAACAAGGTAAAAACCAAGGCAGGTCTTTCTGATTTGAGGTCACCACATCAAAAAGATTTTTGTTACCAAACAGGCATAGGAAATAGCTAACTTTTAAAATAAATCATGTTCTAAAGGCTGGAAATTCATTTTCTCATAGAAACAATGTTCTGAAAATGGCCAGTTTCCAAAATTATTTCAAAAGGGCTAATTTACCTTATGTAGCATGTCTGCGATGAACAGCAGTGGAAGACAATACTGTACTATAGTACTCAAAGTAGAAAACTGTTGACTAGAAATAGTTTTAAGGTATATTTTATAAAAGAAAGTGAAATTTAATTACATTAGGATAAGGTAGAGCATGGGCAGGAAACAAATACTTTGATGTAGTCAAAGTGAACTTACTGTAGAAGACAGAGTTTCTTAGTTCAAATAAACACCAAGATGTACAACTTTGCTTTTTCCTCCAAATTTTATCACAAGACAAATACTTATATTTACCAGCTGTACATTAAAGGTAGTTTGGGGAACAATATGGGAGGGAGAAAAATAATGAATAGAAATATAGAAAGGGAGGATTCTAGAAATAGGAAAGACAAAGGAAGAGAGAAGGCATCACATATACCTGTCTACGTGTACATGTAAGAGAGAAGCAGAGGGAGAGACACATTTTAGTTTGGGAAGAAAAAGAGACTAAGACTCACATATGCATGATCTCTTCCAGGGAGGGATGAGAACAACTTGCAATTGAGCTTTTATTCTGGTCTAATCACCAGGAATGTGATTGCTACCTGCAATGAGGATCTTAGATTGGCAGTCACAGTGAGAAGGTGACCAAGTGTAGAGAAAGAATGTTCATAATTGACAGGAATTCAGGAAGAGACTGACCTCTATTTCATTTTTGTTTAATTGGCCCATGGAAAGTTCATGGTTTAATATTAAGGGAAACATATTGAAATGCAAACTAGAACAAGCTTCATGGCAGAAGATTCTTAAATTAGTCCAGGGGAAACAAAAAGGGCCCCAGTGAACACTCAGCCTCTTTGCATCTGTCAAGTACACATTTGTTTTCTTCTTTTTAGCTGTTCTGTTTCAGTTCAACTTGATAGTTTCCCTACTGCTTACAGCATGACTTCTGAAGATGCTTGATCTTGAGTAAAAGGCAAATTTGAGCAGCTTGATCTGAGGTTGAGTAGTGTCTTAAATACTGCAGAGGGCTGTTCTCTGTGAGGCTGACTGACTACTCACAGCTTACTGACTGCAGAACTCACCAAGGGATGCTGGTTTCTTGCTTGACAACTGCACGTTCTGTATTCACAGAGACAAGACATGTGGGCTCCTCTGAAATTGTCCCAAACTGCTTCCAAAGACATACTTGGTCTAATGGTGGCACAGGTAACCATGACCATTGCAAGGGTATAGAGAGCTCAGCCTCTAAAGCCTAAACATGGAAAAAATATTCATTTAAGTTCCAAACTGAAAACCCCCTTTCAAAATAAACATAATTCTCATACTGGCTGCAAATTATCTAATCAAATCCTTTTTGTGGTTTCAGAGGCATTAATTATTGTACAAACAGATAAAAGTCGGCAAGAAAGGGAATGAAAATGATGTGACTTTAAAACAAATATCAGCAGAGAAGGTTTTTTTAAAAAATTGTTTGTCTGTATTCTGTCTCAAATCTTAACTCTGACCCTAATTAGCTGCTAGCAGGTCACTAGGCATCTGTAGATTTGATTCCTCAACTATAAAATGAAGGGATTAGATGATGTGAATTCTAAGACTCCTTTCAGCTCAACAGGCTCTGATTCTAATTTTTTAGCTCAGGTTGTGCAGTGACAGGGAATTTTATTGACTCCGATTACTCAGGGATGGAGCGTATTGCTTCATGCCTATGTAAAACTGCCGTGAACAGGCATCTGATAACTGGTTCCTCGGTTAGAAGCTGCTTGGATGGGAGTGATCCCCTTGAAATTATGTACTCAGCTCTAAATGATGTTCTTGAGCTCTCATAAAAAATATTGATGCAAAGTAATTTCTTTTTTAGTCAGTTTTGCAGTGTTGTGACCAAAATATCCAACAAAAACAACTTAAAGGAGAAGAAAATTATTTTGGCTCACAGTTTCAGAGATTGAGTCTGTGGTCAGCTGACTCCATAGTTCTGGGCCCAAGGTGAGGCAGAACATTATGGAAGAAGGGCATGGTGGAGGGAAGCGACTCGGGACATGGCAACTGGAAGCAAAGAGAGAGCTCTGCTCACCAAGGACAAAAGGTAAACCCAAAGGTACCTTTGATCTACCTCCTCCAGCCACACCCTACATGCCTGCAGTTACCCCCCAGTAAATTCATATCTGTGAACTAATCCACTTTAGAGGTTGCAACTCCTGTTATCTAATCATTTTACCTTTGAACCTTCTTGCATTGTCTCACACAGGAGCTTTTAAGGGACACCTCATGTCTAAACCATAAGAGTTCCTCTTCCAAATTACCACTTCATCCCTTTTCCTACTCTAGACAACTAGAAATAGAGTAATTAAAATCATCCTCCTTGACCTTTGCTGCTATTGTGTCTACACTGAGTATTTTCCTACACAGCTTTAGGCTTGGGTGTTGACAACACAGGCTTGGAATCTTAGCTTCCATATTTTATTTTATCTTGCCTTTTTTTTTAAACTTATAATTTTTTTTCCCTAAAACCTCTTCTCATACCTTTATTTGCTGCTGTATAGCATAGCCAGACAGGATTAAATCCCTTATCTACAAGGACTTCCACAGTGCAATCATTACTGCTCTTTTAATACAAAAGAGAAGAAGGGAGATCAACTATTTCTTTGATAAATTTCTGGATTATGATAGTGTTTTTGTTTTATCCAGTACTTTCCTAGGGAATATCAAGTACTAAAATTAAAAAAAAAAAAAATCTATGCCCTAAGGAGAAGAAAAAAATATTTTCTTTTCTTGAATTACTCTAAGACAACCCAGGGATGAGTTGATTATTGGCTTCCATGTAGCACCTGTAGAATACTGTCCAGTCTTTTTCTTCAGTTTGATATGCTGTCATGATTCCATTAGTGTGTGGAATTTGCAATGTTGAATCCCAAGGACAAGTGACATGAAGCTATGTCTGAGGTTATTGACTCTATTCATTTATTGGTTATAAAGCCATAGTGACTAATAGAGCTCACTAGAAAATAACATTTTTGAACATCAATGCTCAGAAATGAATGCAGGGTAAGCATTTCTAATGTGAAAACCTAAAATCAAAAAGACTTCCAAATCCAAAACTTTTTGAAGGTCAACATGAAAGCCCAATTGATGCTTTCTGATGGCTCAATGTACATAAACCTTGTTTTGTGCACAACATTGTTTAAAAATATTGTATAAAATTACACCACAAAGAAATGAATTAGGTATAAAAGAAACATAAGTGAATTTTGTGTTTAAACCTGGGTACCATCCCAAAGATAATTCATTATGATTTGCAACTTTTTTGAAAAATCCAAAACCTAAAACACTTCTGGTCTTAAACACTTCACATACAGATACCTTGTATTTAAATTGAAAGGAGTGAAGTCATATAATGAAATATAAAATATAGCATGATTATATTTAGTAAACATTATATTCTTAGTACAAATCTATCTTAAAGCCTCACTTAAAATTTTTGATGGTTTTTTAGGTCTATTTTGAACTGCAGTTTAGGTCATTATTAGACGCTAGAGCAATCTATTTTTGCCATTTCTCATTTCTTCCAATGACACCAATCATTCTAATTTGGGATTTACAGAGTCAAATGTTAGAGCTAGATGTGATATTTGAGACATTTCTGTAAGCCATTGTTATAAGAATGTACCCCACCTGGAATTGCTGTCCTCTTGAAATAAATACACAGGCTTGAGGGGATATACAGGGAGCAGTGGAAAAAGAGAGGAAACTTGGGATAGCCAGCTAAATCTGCCAGTCAATGCTGGAAAGACACCATTATCATGCATGGTTCCATCTTAGAGACATGCAGGAAGGCAAAGGGACTTGCCCAGGGTCACAAAGCTAATTTGTGTCATGTTCCTAAGATGGTCCCTTGCCTGCTAGGAATGTCCTTTAAAATATAGTGATCTGAGTCATAGTCTTCTTTTTCCCACTTTCATTGGAAATTGACTTGGAAACTTACTAACCATTCAAAAATAAAGTAGGAGGTTAACCTGCTTTGCTAGGTGAACATGCAGAAGCACTGACATGCACACTCAATTTGCAATTCCATCCTTATTTTTTCATCTCCACCCAAGCCAATTCTATTCTTTTTGTTTTTAATTTTTTTTAGTTGTTGATGGACTTTTGTTTCATTTATTTATTTATAGGTGGTGCTGACCATCAAATTCAAGTGTCTCACACATGCTAGGCAAGTGCTCTTCCACTAAGCTACAATCTCAGCCAGCCAGTTCTATTCCTTATTCTCTATTATCTTTGATTCTTGCCTCACTTTTTAAATTTTTTGTTAGATGTTGACGGACCCTTATTTTATTCATTTATTTATATGTGGTGCTGAGAATAGAACCCAGTGCCTCTCACATGCTAGGGAAGTGCTCTACCACTGAGCCACAACCCCAGACCTTGCCTCACTTTTTAACAACATGGTACAGTGCAGATTTTGAAGCTGGACTACCTGGGTTTGAATCCCAGCTGTTACTATCAAATGATGGAATCCTGGGGCAAATTAGTTACTCTCTCTATGCCTTGGCCTCCTAATCTATAACACAGGTATAATATGATTTATCTCATAAGGTTGAGAGGATTTAAAAAGTTAATATATGAGCAATTAGAACAATGTCTAGCACAGAGTATAGTGAAATAGAAAATTATAATTATTTCCTTTGATAAAAGTACCTTCAGAGAATAATAAATATTATTTAACAATAAAACTTACATACCAGGCATTGTGCTTTATGCATATTATTCCAGTTGATATTCACAGTAACTCTTTTTATGCTATTAATATTATCTTTCCTTTCTTCCCTTATTTTTGACAGATAAGAAAATGAAGGGCAAAGAACTTAAACAATTTGTCCAAGGTCATCCAGACAGTAAAAAGCAGAGCTATGAGAAAGGGCCATGAGAATTCATTTAAAGTTCTATTTTCTTTCATCAGTTGGCTCCCCTCCCATACAGGTTGGAAGGCTAGGATCGCTAAGAGACTGAGGAGCAACAGGAAGAGAAGAGCCTCTCTTAGAAGGTAGCATGGTAGGGATGATGGCGCCATCAAAGTCCTAACCAGCTTCCACTGCACCACATGGTGTCCACACACCATACTGCTATACAGTACTGTAATGGTGGAAACTACCCTAAAAATCCTGCTTAGCTGAGGGCAGTGTCAGGAGATGTGGTTCTAATTCCAGCCAAAGTGGTAATAATTATAATATCCATATCATAGTTCTTAGTGTCATTTATTTCTACTGTAGCCTTAGGGAAAAGGAAATTTCTCTTCCATTCCCAGAGTAAAAACATAAACACTCACACCACTTTCCTTTCTTCCTTCGAAGCCCATAGTTGCCAGTATCTTTCTACATTTGCCCCACAGCCACCCATTCTCAGTTGTCAAAGTATCTTCATTAGTCTAAAATGGTATCTTCAGCAGAAAGTCTGGGGCTGGTGAAAGGCCTGAGGTTGTAGGGGTAGGGGGAGAAGGAAGTAATTGCAGTTGCCTTGTCCCTGTTCCTGTTCCCCCTCTGGAGCTCTCAGTCTTCTCCTTCACTTTCACAGTGAAAGTCAGAGCTTTACCCAGCACCTCCCAGGCACATCCCTGAAATGCAGATCAGTCAATTGCATGGCTTCTGTTTTTCACAAAGACCCACCCTGTCTGATAAGTTTTAATGGGCTAAATTTAGAAGGGGAAACATGGGAAGGATTTTTCTTACTTCCCTTACTTCCCATGCTCACCATTAGAAAACTATTAGAAAGTGCTAGAGAAGCTGAAGTTGAATATTTGTTAGGTGAAGAGCAGTGGAAGAGATGTCTAAATAGAGTGAAGTACAATTGCAGAGGTGGCCAAGAGAGGCAAGAATCTTGGGCTGCTGCAAAGGGTATTAGCAGAGTAACAAACAGTGGGGAGACTGGCATGTAGGACTGAGATGTAAACTTTAATCCAAGTTTCCCCTGTCCCAATCCAGATTCTCTATATCTAGCCACTGTTTTCCTAACATCTTTAGTTCCTTTGCTGGATATCTCGCCCCAGTCCCAGAAGCCAAGACCAGTTACTACTGCTTGGCACAAAAAAATAGGTGGGAAGAAACAAGGTACCAGGCCCCCTGCTAGAAGAGTAGACATGTTCCTTTCCTTGCTAATTTTACTTGTAATATATTTTCCTTTAGAAACAAGACCCTTAGTGTTGTTCGGCCCCTGCAGTACTGTTAGTAGGATATTTCAGTTTTTACAAGATTATTAAAGGTT